TTTAATTATCATGTATTTCTATGTGCATTTTATAACTAATCATAATAAACCCATCCTTCTAAAAAAGGAAAATCATCATAAATAAACCCATCATGTAAAGGTCATCAAACTAGGATGGAGACCACTTTTATTAAATGTGAATTTTATACACGAAATATTTAATTTAAAATTAATTGATAATAGATAATTTTTTTTATTAAACAATAAAATCAAAGTTTGAAAATCCCGTGTTTATTTATTGCTATATTTATAATACTTTATTTTATAATAATTTTATCATAGAAAATCAACACATGAAGTGACAAAGAGTTTGATTATCTTTAAGTAAAATCTCGATTTTAAATCTTATGAATAAAAAAAATAAAGTTAAAATAATTTATCATTTTATGAGGTTTGATCTAATTCAATTTTAAATTAATCAAAATCCAAAGTAATTATCGGATACAAGAAGATCTCAAATAAAAAAAATTTATCATAAAAAAATTAACAAAAAAAAAAAAACTCTTAATATTAATCGGTATTGATAATAGGTAAAAAGAACGTCTTCCATTACTAAGGAATCAAGACAATTCAAACTTAATTCATATGATATTTATTATTATCAGTATGTATAGAATTTGATGATAATTCTTGGATCTCTATCTTAAATAGATAAGGCATGATTATTCATGAGACAAGAGATTAGATTATTTCTTAATGTGTAACTAAGTTCATTCGAAAAATTAATAAATAAACAAATAAAATTGTTTTAATTACATGAATGACTGAAATTTTGGACAAGGAAACTTTCGGCCAAAATTCGTGAAAGGGATTAGGAAAGATCGAAGCCATCTGTAAATTAAGGAAATGAGAAAAAATAAAATGGAAAAAGAAGCATTGAAACAAATAAAAAAGAAGAAGGGAGCTGTCAATGGAGAGGGTGACTAAATTGGCACAACGTCCCTCCAAAGCATTGAGGGGGCAATTTTTCATCTATGGCAGCTAATGTCCAACAAAGATAAAGCGACAAGAAACAATGCCCTCTTGGTTATATCCATTTGAGATACAATGTCGCTTTTAATTGTTTACTATTGTCTTCTTCTTGATTCCATTGGTTTTTATTTAATTTTTACATAACGCGTATCTGTTTATTAGCCTAATAATTAATACTCATCCAAAGAGCTTTTTATTTCTATTATATTCTGTGATATAATGATTTAAGAGTATCACATCAACAAAGAATGCTCAAACCCAGTAATTGGAAAAAGTAGGAACCAACAAATTAAGTAATGTTAGAGATGTGTTATTTCAAATTTAATGAATATTTAATTTTTTATAATCTTATATTTAAGTTAAGTTTTTTTATTTATTATCAATTAATTTTAAGTAAAATACTTAACATAAAACTACATGATATTAAATATTTATTAAATATGAGATAATATCATATTAACATACATTCATCACGTGTAAATGAAAATAAAATAAATCTATTACATGATAAATTTAAAAAGTACAAAAGAGAATCAGGTTGAATGCTTAACATAAGATTACAGGATATTAAATAGTTATTAAATATGAAATAAGATCACACTAACACTATCACATGTAGACAGAAATAAAAAAAATTCATCACATGATAGATTTGAAAAGAGTAATAAAATTTTTTTTGACTCGAATATTATATTAAATATTCAACTTAAAATTAATTGATAATAAATAAAATGATTCAATCTGAATATAAAATTATAAAAAATTAAATATTTATTAAATATAAAATAATACTATTCTAACAAGTAATAAAAAAATTTCTATTAGTGTAAAGAGCAAAATGAAAGGTTAAATAGGGCCATATCTAATTGGATTTGGAGGAAGGAAGAGAACAATATTCTCCCGGCATATGGTACCTACATTATTTACAAATAAAGATCCTCAAAAAGTGTTGAAGCTTTTAAATACCTTTGATTAAGACATGGAACATGGTTCTTTAACTCTCCAACTGCCTCTGCTTGCTCATTTATGTTCCCTTTGCATTAATCCTTGTCTTCATCGTACAATTAATCTATACTCTAAAATAAAGTTGAATTGTCTTGTCAAGAAGAAATTTATTTTTCTTTCTTTTTTTTTTTTTTCTTCTTTTCTTTTTAGGCTCTTTTACATCCCGTGTATAGAAATTGCAAATAATGAAATATGTAAAGAAATTATTACTTATGTAATTTTAGTTAGATTTTTTTTTACAAATAATTTTGAATTATATGACAAGAAAGTAATCATATTTTAATTCATAAATTTCTTAATTTTTGTCTCAAAATTTAACTCAATTGAAATATTAAATTTTAACTGCTATAAAAAATTCTATTCAAATTTTTGAAAGAAAAAAAAAACTCAGATTCCCAAATTTTTATTTTTATTTTTATAAAATTCATTATTTTAGGAAAACACTAAAGAAGAAGAAACTAAACTATTTTAGAAACATAACAGTTTTTTTAGTAAAGGAGGCTGCAGCGGAGAAAAAAATTTATAGACATCGTGATTTGGATCTACCTTTTGTAGAAAAATTAAAAAATTAACAAAATTTAAAGAAAAAATTTATTTTGGACAACCTTAAAAATTTGTCATGACATCACAAAAATAGAAAAAAAAAATTCAAACACCCTTTCTCCTGATCAAATTAATAAATTTATCAATAATTATATATTATAAATAAATTATTTCAAAAGGAAATTTGAATCTACCCATTATTATACATAATTATTATTTTTTATTATCTTTAAACTTTTGATTTAATGATTAAAGCGTTTAAATAAATATCTTTGGTTTCGAATCAAATTTTTTTTATCTTTTTTATTTATACTAAGACTTTACTTTTACGATGTAAAAAAAACATATTCTTTTCTCATCACGAAGAAATTAAAAGTTAATAAAGGAATCGAGCTTTGTGCCATAAGATCTTGAAGCCAGAATGCATCTGATTTTTTAGCACGTCTTCGGATAATGACATAGAGGAAAGTACAAGAACAATTAAAATTTAAAATTAAAGCAATTGTTGTTATTAATAATTCCATCCTAATCTGGAATATAGCCAGATGTGTTGTCCGAGACTTCCCAAGCAGAAATTATGGTTATCATCGTTTATAATGCTTTGCTGTCTTGGATGCACTCTGTTGAAAATGCCACCTCACCTTTTTCGTGTTTTCATTTTTTGTTTCTTTCTTTATTTAGATGTAAGGCTGAATTCTACCATTTTTTTAAAAATATTTTTAAAACTTGATTAGGGAATTAGTTCTGTGTCTTTTTTTTTTTTACTTTGACAAACATATTATATTACAACTTCTTTATCTAATGATCCAAAATTCAAACGCTAATTAAATATCTAAAATCCAACAAAATTTCAACATCAATTATGAGATGATATTTTGCTTACTTTTTGTTTTTTATTTTTCTTTCTTTATGAGATTACAATAGATTTATAACTACAAGTTGATAATCGTTAACCTATATGACATAATTATAGATTAAATTTTGTTATACAAACTAATGAAAAATCTGTTAGGAATGACCACAGCCAGGGCTTAGTTAGAGTGAACCTGACCCAATAGGTTGCACTTAAGCCATGCCTAGTCTCCTTGGACCACCGGTCTGGCGCCTTGAGAAGGCTTATTACGACACCTTTATAAATTAAGGAGCAAGGAGATGATAACACTTGGTAGGCCATCCAATGACCTAGGACAGTATTCACGACAAACAGCTCCCTCAACACTTACAAAGACTATAGCTTCTTTCGCTAAATTACACCTCCATCTAGAATTTACCTCAAGTCTATTAATTTGCTTTATGTCTATATTTATCTTATTTATATTGATGTTTCAACAATTTTATCTCACGAATTGACTGGATTATCATTAGTGTGTGAAAAAAATACTTTTGATACCCTTAATTTTTTTTATCTCATAGATTAAAAAAATTCACATTTGAGACTATTACTTCCATCAACTTAATCCACCGTATTATCTCAAAACTTTTCTCTACAATGATGAATATCTAAGTTCACTTCCAAGATAAAATCAAACATAAATTTTTTTTAAAAAAAATTGAACTTAAAGCCCCAAGTTTTAATCCTCCATTCTGTTGTGACAAGGTCTCTTCATTACATTTTAATCCTTGAGCAATAATCTATGGGGTAGAAGTTGATAACATGAAAATTTTGTTAATTAATTGCTTTGAGAAACATTCTTGGGCATGAAGTTGACCATACATGTTGAGAATGATTCTCTGAAGACATGATATATATATATATATATATATATATAGCATGTAAATTTGATAGAAAATTGTCCTAACATAGTGGAGCTATATATATCTAATACAACACCATGTAAGGTTTAGGTTAAACGTCAATTTTTATATATATCGGCTAGATTCTTCTCTTTTAACTTTTGAAATTAAATGTTGATCGATATGTTTAGGCCTTAATTAATCGGCTTTGGATCATCCAAAGTTTGATTTTAAGAAATTCAGTTTATCTTATATGCACAAAGCATTTTGAACATGTTTCTTCGAATCTTACAGTTGCGAATCCACTAAGATGTTAGTATAATAGCGCTCCATGAACTTTTGCTGATAATTTCAGATACCCCACTGTGCAAGATGCAAATTGTTGTAGGAAGGAAAGAAGAATAATTCTCCTTGAAGAGAAAAAGAAATACAGTTTTATACTATTTAATTTTTTTTTTTTTTTGGTATAATGTTTAGGGATGGCTAATTTTGAATTTATGCAAGTATCTTATTTTTCGAATTATTAGGACTTAAATGCCTAAGTTGAAACCCCAATAATCCTTTGATGTTCACTTTTGATCTGATTTTAAGTCTTGTTTTTTCTCCGGTTTTTGTCTTATGTGTTCCTTCGTTGATTGAAAAGTTTGAAACATTTTTTATATTGTAATTAGTTTTGCAAGCAAGGGCAAAATTTTTTATTTTAATTTATGTTATTATCTGGAAATGAGTGTTTTTTTTTTTTTTTTTGAAGGGGGTGGGCTTTGGTCGTGTCAATATATCAATGTTCATTCGAACCCATTTTAGGATATATATATATATATAGTTATATTCATATCTTAAACCTCAAGTCTTGAGGAATATAAATTAGAATTTTTCTACCATACATCTGAATTCAGCATTGCTATGGTTCTCCATCTTATCTGAATCTCCTTTTCTTTGGTCTTTGTGGTATTCTGCGTGGCTTTTAATCTTATAAGTGATTCATACTAGAGTGAAGTCAGATACACTTTCTGATGCTAGCCAAGAAAATCTGCTAGCTGTTGTTGTTTGGGTAGTTAGATTAGTTCATTTGTAAATGAACACTGAGAAGATTGATTGCCAAGAGAACCTTGGGTTCAGAAGGGACTGCAATTTTGAATATTTTAATCATGTTGGTTTTCAACAGCCTTGGAACATGGAAATCAGGATTCAGGCACCTGACATGGGGGGAGGGTCGCAGCAGCAAAATCCTGGACCTGATAAATCATCATCCAATACAATTATGGGTGGTTTTCAGACTCCAGCGTCTGCCTTTTATGCAACTGAAAGATGCATGGGGTTTCCGCAGTACGGGCCTCAAGGAGGTAGTTCTTTCTGCTCCCAATACAACAAGAGCTGCAATTATCAGTTTCCTTCATTTCATGTTTCAGGAGAGAACTTTTCCATTGAATCAGTCGCTCAAGATGAGCACAACTATGAATTGAGAAATACATTGCAGTCACTTGTGAAACCCCAAATTTTTTGCAATCAATACCAGAAGTCCTCAGATAAATCCTACAAAAATCCTTGCACCAATTTACAAGGGAGTCAGCTTTCCTCACATAATCATAGTAACTTGCTTGGAAACAATGCTGCCACTGTTGGGAATCACTTTTCAGTTCCTTTCCGAGGAAACCAGCATCAAAGGGTAAGCTTTCTTTTTCTTTTATTTTTTGAGTTTCCGCAATTAACTTACTGAAGAAGTTGTCTTGAATATAGCCACCTGTTTCCTTGCAGGCTTATTGTAACTCATATATTTCTCCTCTTGCACAGCTAAGCATCTTTCAGCAAGAGAAGCAATCTTCAAACAATTCTTATGGGGGCTTTTCTGTTTCTTCCGGTAACTCTGTTTCAACCGGGCCAGTCCTCGCTAGTAAAACTCGAATAAGGTGGACACAGGATCTTCATGACAAGTTTGTGGAGTGTGTTAAACGCCTTGGGGGTGCTGAGAGTAAGTAATAGTATGATATTAACTTTATCAGATCTTGAGATATTCATTCAGCAATCAGCAATCATTTTAGCTATTTATTGCTTTTATCTAACAGAGGCAACTCCAAAGGCAATTCTGAAACTGATGGATACAGAAGGATTGACCATCTTTCATGTGAAAAGCCATTTGCAGGTATTGATACAATTTTAAGAAATTTGACTGTTGATTATATTATGTTGGTTGAGATATGCTTCTGGCAAAATGCTAATATCTGAAATTTGTTTCCTTCTGATTTCTGTGATGTAGAAATATCGTATTGCAAAATACATGCCAGACTCTGCTGAAGGTATACCTTGATACAGTGACTGCTTCCCTTTTTATTTATTTACTACTTTCCTCGACAAGGCAGGGAGAGCCCACCCTTTTTTTCAATGCTTGAGATTGCAAAGATTTGATCCTGAAACTAAGAGTCCAGTATTCTACCAAGACCACTAGGCTATTGGCGAGAGCCCTCCCTTTAGAATAGTCATAGTGCTTTGATTCTTCTGCTCCTTAGCTGCTTGAATCTGCAATACCAAATATGAGTATTAGGATATAAAGACCATAAACTCCCAGTTTTCACTGTAATTCAAGAGCTTGGTTCAGATCATACCCCACTAAATGTTTTAATTTATTATAGGTTTCAGTTCAATTAAAGTGACTTGTGAAGAGGGATACTCCTCAAATTTGCTTTAGTTGTTTGAATTGTTATACTTTCATATCTCCTTGGGTGTTCACAAGCAGAATCAGATGGCTTGACATCTCACTTATGTGTAATCACCAGAACCATATACCCCGACCCTTTATGCCTTTGTCCCTTCGAAAGGTCATTCACATCAACACATTTATTAGGCAGAAATTGTTTGGCTTATATAAACTTTTCAGATTCGTACATTTTTACTCTGATATTCCAATTATCTGTTTCCTGCTGCCTATAATTTCCAGGACATGACAACCTTGTGTTTAAGAATAAAAACCATTTTACTGTTTTAACCAGAAGGAAATTTTCACTGTTCTTTGTTTGACATTTTTTCTATAGGAAGCTATAAAATGTTCACAGGTCAGCTTTTTTTGCTTTGGTTAACTGTATGAGATTACAGAAGTTCATCCACAAAAAGTCTGATCCCATCAATACCCTTTCTTGTTGCAGGGAAATCAGAGAAAAGAACTAGTACAAGTGATGTAACTCAGATCGATGTCAAAAAGTAAACTTCTTACTTCATACATCTCTTATTCTATCCAAGTACATTCTTTTCTTTTTCTGAAATTTACCATCAAAATTCTTTTGCTTTTCCACCAAGTTTTCCTATTTCAGTCACAATTTCCAATCTGTCTGGCAGTGGTTTGCACCTCACAGAGGCATTGCTACTTCAGTTGGATGTCCAGAGGCGTCTTCATGAACAATTAGAGGTACATGAATGATCTTTGATTCCAACTCATTTTCATAGCTTATCTTGCCCTAATTTCTGTTTCTCCTGAATGCAGTAACTTATACCCAGACAACTGTAGCAAAGAGCTTCTGAATCTGTTTACTAAACCAGATTAATTGCCAAAGCAAAAAAAAAAAAAAAAAATTCATTGAATAAAATTTTTAAATGAAGTTAATAAGTTAATTGAACATATAAATCAAATGCAAAGAACTATTTGGTGGCATCCTGTTTATGAACCATGAAATTGAACTTGTTTCTTTTTCCTGCTCAGATTCAGCGAAATTTGCAGCTGCGAATTGAAGAACAAGGAAAGCAGCTCAAGATGATGATTGATCAGCAACAAAAAACAAATGCAAGCCTCCTTAAAACACAAGATTTCGACATCACACCTTTTGATCATGATCCATCATTTAGCGTCGAAGACATTGAAGCCTCAATTGCAGAAAGTTCGGGAAATGCTCACTTACCATCCAAGATAAGTTAGAGCCTCGAAATTAAAGTAAAAAAATGGCCATTTACACATATACAAGTGTTCATGGCATGTCAACAAAGCCAACTTCCTCAGAATCAAAGAGCAAGAATGTCAAACAAATGACTGTAACTAAAGCATAGAAATACAAACGAGTTTCAATCATGAGTCGTGCCCTTAAGAGCTTGGACATGTGATGTGTGTTGAACTACTTATGCACATCAAGCTCATATAAAGAACAAGGACTAGCTTTAAGTGCCATAGGCTAGGCCATAGAATTCTTTTTTTTTTTTTCCCCTCTGCATAGCTAGTTTGCTTGCAATAAAATTCAATACCTTGTATGTAAGAATGTTGGAGAATATTTGTGCCTATTTTCTTCTGGTTTTTAGACATTTGATAATAGATTAACAAAATTATGGTCATTCTAAAGAAACTTGTTTTTTCTCCTCTCATTATTATTTTTGGTACTTAAATTTTAAAAAATATATGAATTAGCACTTAAAAAAATTTATCTAGAATCGATCAATTATTTTTAATCACATGTATCTATATGAAGTTTTTACAAAATATTTAATACTTTTATTTAACAAATGACAGACATATAACAAAATTATACTAATTAGATATTATATAAACAAGTTAAGTTAATATTATTAAAATTTAAATTAAAATAATATATTATTTTAAAATTTAAGATACAAATTATTTTTTTTTTAAGTACCAATTTGTATATTTTCATAAAGTTTAGATAATAAAAATATAATTAATTTTTTTTAGCCTAATACACTTTAATGTCTCAACAATTCATGACTGAGTTTTGTAAGTGTTAAATAACGATGATAATTGCATTGAAAAACAATGGAGCATAATCAAACCAATATAACAAAGGCTGTCAAAATGGGCAGATCTTAAATGGAATGGATAATAAAAATTACCCAATGCTCATATGACCTATTTACTTTACAAGGCCCAACCTGTCCTCTACTCCTTTATTGTTTTTACTCCAACGTGGAATGCATGCTATTTCCATGCCTTTTTAGGCTTTACAAATATTGTTGCTTTCTTTTTACATGGAAGAAGGGTGGATTCAAATACAACTATGAATATGAATAGAAGTAGGAGTGTTTATTGGGTCGGTTTGATTAATTTTAAATTAAATTATTTAAAATTAAATTAATTAAATTATAGTATTTTATTTTTATTAATTGAATCAAATTTATAAATTTTAAAAATTAATCAATTGAATTTAATTCGATCGATTCAATTAATTTTTTCGGTTAATCAAATAATAAATGCATTTAAATTAGACTATATTTTAAACTTTTAATTTCTCATATTTTAAACAAACTAAAGAAAATTATTTAATAAAATATTCAAATATTAAAATATTATGTTAAAAAATATAAAAAGTTATGAAATTAAGTGATCTATTTCATATATTTTTTATTTTATATTTAAATTATATTATATTTTGATTAAAATTTTAATTAATTCGATTATGTTATATTTCGTTTTTTGAATCAAATTAATTAAAAATCAAAATTTTTTTAAAATTATTTTTATTAATCAACATAAATTAATTTTGTAACCGATCAATTAATAAAATTATATTGATTCGATTGATTGATTCAATTAAAATTGAATTATAGATACTCATAAATAAAAAGATTATATGCATCCATCATTTAGCCAATTTACTTTATGCTTTAACAAAATGGATTCCTTATTTTTTGTGATATTTTTTTAAGTAAATATTACCTATGGATCCTAATTTTTTTTATTCTTGTTTCACTTTAGTTTCTAAAAATGTTCCACTTGGATTTTTAACATCTTAAAATGGTTTCACTTTTATCATTTCATCAAATTGTTTCGTTAACCTTAACATAATACCATATTGTAAATTACATGTCATCTCAATTAAATATTCATTTGGTGTTTGTAGGCAATTTTTTTAGTTGTTAACGAAATAAAGTAATAAAAATACCAAAATGAAATCATTTTAAAAGATTAAAAATTCAACTAAAATAAATCAGAATTTACTTGAAATCAAAATTAAAAAAAAAAAAAGGGGACAAAAAGAAAATTTAACCATCTTTTTTCTCAGCCAAATTCTTTATTACTTTCGTACGGTCTGAAATCTGAATGTCGTCATTATTTGCCATTCCCGCAAAGCACTGGTGCAGTGCACGTAAAGATGTCGTCATTCATTGCAATTATTTCGTTTTTTTTTTCTTTGATAAGCCATCATTTCGGTATTGAAGTTGTAAAAGATTCCCAATTTTCATCAATATAAAAAAAAAAATCAAGCTAAAAATAATAATGCTTGTAATAAAAAATGGTTATGTTATATCCTTTTCCCTATATTTAATAATTTAAAATATAATAATTATATAATAAAAATAATTTAAATAAAAAATATTAAAATAATATAATTTAAAATTTTAATAAAAATTATAAATATATTTTATATTTTTATGTCAATACGAATTATAATTTTTATATAAATATTATATGAATATATAAATTATTAATATTTTACACAAATAAAATACATAAATTATCATATCTATTTGTCTCATTTTATTTTATTTTATCAAGTATATTTTGAAAAAAAAAAATTAATTCTAACTTTTTGAATAAGAAAATACAAGTATAATTTAGCATTGAGTCTTAGACATAATTAATCTATGAATAGAAAAACACAAATGCAAAAATTTTGTTGAACTCACGTATTTGCTTATTATATTTTTCAAAATATCATTTGTTATTTTGAATTATTTTGAATTTAATATTTATAAAAAAATAGTATTATAGTCAATTACCAAATTTACTCATTCAGTGTTAACTTTAATTAATTAAATTACAGTTAAGAAAAAAGCAAATATGAAACTAAAATACAAATTCTTTTAAATTTGATTTATTTTCTTTTTTATTATGAAATTTTTACTAAATATAATGTCACACGATTTAAATTTTTTACAAAATATAATACACATCATACTTATTTTAGTTGATCTTTCTATTTTATTTTACTTGTATCTATCTATCTTGTCATGATAATTAATCAACCTTTTGTCTGACCAATAAAAAATATAGGATAATCTAGCTTAATTATTATATTTCAATTTCAAAATAAAAAAAAAACCATGAAATCGTCATTATTTTACGTTCACATTTCTATCAGTAGTATATCTTAAAAAATAATATTTAATCTTCTTAATTTATTTTAGTGCAACTATTAAAAATACGTTTAGATAAATGATAAGATTAAAATAATAATAAATTAATTATTATAATAATAAATTTAAAATTAATAATAAAAATATAAATTAAAAATAACAATGAAATAAATTTTATATATTTATGTATATCGCGAAAAGCCAAAAACACTTGGCAATGTTTAGTATAACAAAATGTTCAAATTGAATGTTAATAATCATGAATCTATTGAAAGGATGTTAAATTTTTTTTTAATTTAATAAAATATTTTTTAATTTTAATGATCGGCCTTTCTAACTCAATTATTATTAAGAAAAACATTTATAAAAGCTAGCTGCTAATTTTTTATTTTCAAATGAACAGAACTTGTCCTCGTTCAATGAATCTAAAAGATGTCCAAATTCAACGAACTGATTTTCCCCATATCTCCTAATTCACAATGATAAATTACTGTTTATTAATTGATGGAGCTTTAATTATGTAAATGCAACTTTTTGTGTGTTTTTTTTTTGTTTGGTATATTTTATGTTCAGTATTTATTTTGAATTTAAATTAATTTAAAATCAAATCAAATTAAATTTTATTAAAAAATAAATTTTTTTAATATTTATTTTTTCATTTACAATATTTAAAATTAAAATTTTACTTAAAAATAATCAAACCTTTTAACCATTTAAATCAACATTCGTACTGTAATGCAATTTTTGTACTTTAATGGAATGACAAAATCAGTGTTGGACATTTCGACACAAATAGTAATTACTATTTGCTTGGGTCCAACATACCCAACATTGGGTCCAACATACCCAACAAAACTACTTGTTTTTTTTTTTTTTTAATTGAATGTTGTTGTCGTGTAGTTAGTGATGAGATGATAAGGATCAGACAACAAACGATCTGCCGCATCACAATTATTTATTTATTATTGGAAACCGTTGAGGATAACGAAGTACAAATAAATTTTCGATGAAAATTTTTAAATAAAATACGTTAGGTCTTTTAAAAAAAATATTAAATTAAAATTAATAAATTGATAAAATTCATCAAAAAAATTAATAATATGTAGAAAATTATTAAAAATATAATTTAAAATTTAAATTTAATCAATATTTATTAATAATAAAAATTTTATCAAAATTTTTATTAAATATGATTATATAAAAAATTAAAATTTTTTAAAATTTATACAGTTGATTTAAATCTTTTTTAATGCAGTACTTAAAAAGGTCAAAAAAACAAAGGCTCTAAAAAAAAATGCATTTTTATATATTTTTTTTATTCTTTTAAATTGCGTCAGAGTATTTCAAGTTTTTTATTGTATTCAAAATTTTATTCCTTTTTTATTGGATTTTAGTTAATAAAAAATTGTTATCCTTACTAATTGAGAATCATATTTTTTTATTAATTATTATTTAAGATTCAAACCTAAGATTTTAGAGTTAAAAAATAAAGTTTTAAGAAGAACATAAGAATTAGAATTTTGGATTTTTTTATTTGAAAAAAAAATTCAAATTTAATTCCTCAAATTAATTCATAAGAGATACTTACATTTATCATTGAATAAAATATCATAAAAATATTGTAATACTGAAACATTGACAACCAATTTAAGTATTAAAAAAAGAGAAGCAAATTTCCATCTAAATATACAGGGTCATAGTTTCCATCAAGCTATTATTGAAGAATCCGAAGATTTCATTGCAACAGCTCTGAACAAGGATCATTGAAGTGAAGCACCAGAAGCCATGGATCAAGCATCAGTATCACAACAAAAACAAAAGCGTCTAATATCACATTCAGGCACCCTCAGCTCCAGCACACCATTGGAGCAACTGGCTTCTGCTTTCTCTGCAACTGATCAGCGTAAGATCAGCTACTTCGATTTTCAAGCAGCAGAGAGTGACAGTGATGAATCCCAGGCGGCAGGATACCAGGTTTCCAACCATTCATCAGAACACCAAGCTATCCCCAGCAGCAGTATCAATCAAGCAGAGGACACCTTGTTGTCGATTGTGAATCCTCATCTACGGAGGAATAACCAGTTCTGTCATGGCTTCAGCGAAAAGTCTAATGCTAAATGTTATTGGTCGCAGCAGGGAAACCTTCTATCACTTGACCATAACAAGTTGCTTGCTGAGGCAACCGGCAACTCCAAAGCAAGTGATCTAAATTGTCTTCCATTTTAAGCATTTCTTTGTTTGGTTTTTGTAAGAAAACTAAAATTTGTTCATAATTATTGCTTAATTTTTCATCAAAACAGGTTAGCTTATGCTTTCAAGATGAACCAGAACAGCAATCTTCAAACTTTTCCAGGATTTCTGGAACTTGTGGTGGGCCTGTTTCATCCGGAGCAAGGCCCTCAAACATCAAAACAAGACTAAAATGGACTGCAGATCTTCATGAGAAGTTTGTCAATTGCGTCAATCTCCTTGGTGGCGCAGAGAGTGAGCCAATTCTTCCTATAATTGAATTAAAAAAAAAAAAGAAGAATTTTTTGTCATATGCACCAAAGAAAATGAAATTCCTTATTAATCCATTAAATTCTATGAATCATAGAGGCAACACCAAGGGCAATCCTGAAGCTGATGAAATCAAATGGGCTGACACTCCTCCATGTCAAAAGTCATTTGCAGGTCTACAAGTTTTTACATAATTAAATATTAACAATTTGTCAATTATATATATATATATATGTATGTATAGAACATATAACGTAAGTAATAGTCTTAAACTATTTGCTCTGCAGAAATATCGATACGCAAAATGCATTACCGATTCCACACAAGGTGATAAGCTGAAGAAAAATTTACCCCTTTTTGAATATTTTCTTTTTTTGAGGAAAAAGATAAAGGGAAGATTAATACTTTTCTTTTCTTTTTTTTTTACAGGAAAAGCTGACCAACGTGTTGATGGTGATGAATTCCCCATGCTCTATTTGAAAAGGTGAGTTTTAGTCGTAGTAAAAAAATTACAGCTCTAAAACATTAACTTTTTTGCATAATATTTGATTTTGAATTGTAAAATAGGAAATCCCATTCAAATACGAAATTTTCAAGACCAAATTTCAAGTTCTTCATTATTTTTTAATGTACATAAGCACTTATAACTCGCCAACCGCCATGTATGTTGTGTAGTGGCCTGCAAGGAAAGGAAATACTGCAAATGCAGCTAGAACTCCAAAGACATCTTTGCCAACAATTAGAGGTATCACTTTAATTGTAAAATTTTATAATTCTGAACTCAAAGCTATGATTTGGTTGGAATTTTCCTGTACTAGATTTGGCCACCTGAAAGCTATTTCATGGAATTAATTATTATATATCACATATGTGACATCTGATAATAATTTATACTTGGACAATTAAAAAAAAAAACATTGTAATTGAAAAGGAATTTCTAATCATCCCTAAATCAAAAAGCATTAATTGAATATTGGAATTAATTTAGTTTCAAGTCTTTAAAACATTCCTAATGCACTTTTTTTTTTTTTTACTTTTTTTTACTTCACACAAACCCAAAAAACAAAATAACATATTTATATTAAAACTCTAAAATCTTAAAGACACACCAATGAAATAACTATTAATAAAATATTAATTACAGAAAACAAGTGAATAATGATGGTAAAAATATAAATTTTCGTTTGATTCCAACAAAAATGCTTAATGTACATTTATAATATGCTAATTATGATTCTCTTCATGGTAATCTGTTAATTATTTTTGCGCAGATTCAGCAAAATCTACAGCAAGCAATAGAGGAACAAGGAAAGCAAATTCAAATGATGCTTGAGCAGGTAAAGAAAACAAATAGGGCATGTTGAGATTCAGAACTTGGATTTATATCAAATCCCTGTGTACCATAATTTAACCCTCTCAACTTCAATGTAACAATTAAATGGGTACTTTTATTTTGTGGAATTGAAAATAACCATTAATTACATTATTTTTGGATATATAGCTTAAATCTAGAAAAAAAAAATCTCTGTTATTTGTGATCTTTGATGGAGTATTTTTATAATTTTTTAGTAATTGTAGTTTTTATATCATAAGAAATAGCATTTTTATTCCAAATCAAATATAATTAGTCTCATATTTACCAATTATCTATGGATGCTTAAACTTTTTCAAAATATATACTCATACAAGACTTTAGATGTAATACTAATTGATGAATTTTGGTATTTCTCAAGAATTGATTTTTTTTTTTTTACTAAATTGGGGTATAAATAAGTTAAATTAAGCTACTAGATTAAGAACTTGATTCGACGAATACTCAAATTTTGCTCATTAATGAGTGGGGTTCGAGCTTGAGTCATACAGGTAATGAGTTGATATTTTGTAATAATTATTAATTTTATTGGGTTTTTGAAAATTTTAATAATATTTAATATTTTCTTCATATATAAAGGAAGTATTATTTTTGTTCATAGATATTTAAGTTATATTTGAAATTTGATTTTAATTCAAGCTCAAGCTCTAAGCGAATTTCAAAATTCTTATTCAAATTGGTGTTAATTGAGCTTAATCAAGTTAAACTTTAACAATTTGAAAATTTTTTTAGCAAAATAATAATAAAAAAAGGTTTCATCAAGCTTGAGATGAATTTGAGCCATGAGTCTTTTAATAAGTTAAACTCAAGCTTAACTCTATATAAATTTAGTTAATTATATTTCTAAGTAAAATTTCAATTTGAGGTGAAAATAAAACCAAATAATATATTTATATAATTAAAACTAAAAATTTAAATCCTTCACAAATATAAAATGAATAACTTTAGTTAAAATAATTATGTTGGAATTTGTGAATTACTTCAATATATATGTATATATTAATTTTTAGTGGATTACGATTTTGTTTTTTTATCAATCTTTTGAAAAGTAAATTCAAGTATAACAAAAGAAAATTCAATTTTAAATGGAGTCTAAGTTTGATTATTTTTAAATTTAAATTTAATTTTAAATTTGGAAATGTTATTTTTTAAATAGTCTCAAATTAAAATTTAATTGAATCAAATAGATCTAAGTCAAAGGAATGTCAAATATGTCAAATACTAGTAAACTTAAAACATCAAATAGACCTACATACAAAACTCTGGGGGTTTAATTGAAATAATCAAAATTTTACGGTGGATATTCTAACAGAATTCAAATTACAAGGTTTCATATGCAATAATTACCCAAAATACAACACGTTGCTTTGCTTAACCTAGAAAACAAACATAGAAACCGAAATCGTGAACGAAAGAACCAATTTTTGCACAGCGAAACAAAGCTGAAAAAGAAAGCAAAATAAAATGGAGGATTTGAAGAAGAGGAAGATGGAAGAGATGGGAAACAACGGAGATTTATCAACTCAAGAAGAGCTACGTTCTTTGCTTGACCCTCTTGCTAAATCCCAGCTCGTCGATCTTCTCTCTATACTGTATGTTCACTTTTTTTTATGACCTTAATTTCTTTTTTTTTTGTTTACTAATAACCCAAGTAAATTTGAATAATAATGAATGGGAATTTCTGGGTTTTCTTTTATTTTTTCTGTTCTTCAAAGGGTAATTTTTTTCATGGGTTTTTTGAGAGTTGGTTTGGTCAGTTTAAGGTTTTGATTTTGGTGAAATAGTTCTAATTTAATGGCTGTTTAAGTTGGTTTTGAAATTATGAGTCCCCGAGTATATCTAAAACAGCTGCAGAAGGAAATTGCTATTTCTTTTTACTTCGAAAATATGGGAAATAATACTATATGGGTGCTTTGCCATTTCTGGATTTTTGGGTTTTTCTGGAGAAGGGTCTTGATTTATATTCTTTTACATCTTGCATCAGAGTAGAGCTGTCAATATAAAATATGACATGAGACAAGACATGAATATGGTACAAAAATAGGACTCGATGATATTGTTTAAAATTTTAGTAATAATTATATATAGGTTTAACAAAATAAAAAAAATGTATTTCATATTTTCGTGTCGACATAAATTGTGACATGCAATTTTCGTATAAAACGCTATATGAATATATGGATTTCAGTATTTTACACTACACAGAATACGCAAACTGCTAGATCTAAGTCAGAGTAGATGTTAGACCAAAATTTTGGTGCACCTATCCTTCATGTTTTTGGAAGTTCTAAAGAAGAGAAGAAAGAGAGTGAAACCTACTGTATATATCCAACAAACGGTGTCACTCCTGCTCTGTATGCTGTAGAGAAGAGTAGATTAATAGTAAGTTCAGTAGTTCAGTGAATGAAATGACGTTGATTCTGGAAAGCTCAAACGTTAAAGAGGCACTGTTTAATGCATATGTCACAGTAAAATGTGACTTTGCTTTCATAAAAGATTAAAAGAACGCAAGGGGGGCAGTCGTGTTTTGTTTACTTCACTAATCATGCCAAAAAAAGCTCTCTGATCTTGTTTCATTGGATTCATTAAGCTTTAATGCGAACAAATCTTCACCAACAAGATGGTATAAGCTTTAAATCTGCGAATAACATCCTGAAATAATAGTTCAATACATATGATGTAAGAGTGTTGGTATTTAAAGAATTGAAGGCTATTGTTTCTTAGAATCTCCTGTGTCAATGTAGTTCATCTTGTGTGTGAGAGTGTGATGCTTGTGTTAAGTGAATGGGTGCTATATGAGTGTTGCTTGAAATTGTATGCTGTGTGATTGACTCTGTGAACGTGTGTTTATTTGCATGTTGACGCATAAAGAGGGTGCCAATATCCTTCGATTGCTGAAGAAATTAAAAGTATTGCCAGTTCGGATCCTGTACACCGAAAGCTTTTTGTTCGTGGCTTAGCCTGGAATACCACTTCTGAAACCTTGTGTGCTGTGAGTGCATTGCTGATTGCTGTTTGTGTTTTTTGTGATAATATATTGTGGTGATTGTCCCACACGATATTGAGTTCTGGGTTAATTTTTCTCATAATTCTATATCTTCCTCTTCATTATTATTATACTGCTGAACTTTTAGAAGACTTGAACTCAGAGCCATTTTAACTGAATAGATTGAGCCTATGTTTTTGCTCTAGGCCTTTCGAATGCATGGAGAAATAGAAGAAGGGGCTGTTATCTATGACAAAGCCACAGGAAAATCTCGTGGCTATGGTTTCATTACTTACAAACACATGGAGTCAGCGCATAGTGCACTTAGAGCACCCAGCAAACTTATTGATGTAAGCAATATCTACTTTTCAGTCTTTTGCATTTTAGGCTCTTCTTTGTAAAGACACGAATCTCATTTCATCTCATCTTTTTGTTTTCCATTTTCCTAGGATGAGACATACATGCCATCTCAATCGTTCTCTCCTTTTGAGATTTGCTACTCTCTCTCTCTCTCTTTCTCTCTCTCAACAATCATTCATTTAATAAACATGATGGACAATGGGAATCACCCATTAATAGAATCAATTTGATAAGACTTCTATTAACATGAATCTGATCAAAGACACTGCTAGGACATGTATTATAAGTGATGCTGATTATGATATGTGGATTTCAATACCCTGAATGCATGTGCATAAAAAAGCCTTATTTCTGTGGCTGTCAGAATGTAACACAGTTACCATGAAAACAGTGTCGCATCTTGGTTCAAGGTACGAAATCGGGATCTGGGTTCATGATTTAAAAATTTTGTGGTACGAGACGAGTAGGTTTAGTTGGTATATTAGTTCGGATCATGGTACACTATATGGTGGTTTTAAGGTCACTTATAGTATTTGGATCATTTTTATTTTATGAAGCCCAAAATATTTACAAATTAAATCCGAAGTTGTTTACTCACTTCAACTTATATAAAAAAACAATGTTAGTTTATTTGCTAACCCACCAAATAAACAGAATGTAAAATGCTAAAGGTTCAGCACAAATAAAAATACCTTCACAAGCTTAAGGCCCAAAACCCAACCCATGTGAAAACCTCATTTTTTGTTTCCTTCTCTTCCTTGAGTGCAGTTGAGTGTTTCTCTTTATCTTTTGTTTTCACATATGCATATTCTGTACAAGAGCCAAAGCTGTTATCAGCCACATTCTTCCTTCTTTCAATTCTCTTTGTTTTACCTTCATCTTTTTCTTATCTTTTTTAGCTCATGATTTATCGCTTTCCTCTCTTTGTAATCTTCCCAATGTTTTCTCACCTTTCTCTTTCCTCACCCACAAGTAGCTCCAATTTCTCTTTTGCTGATGGTGGGGTGTTTGGCACTAATATCTCTTTCTTTAGTCTTAGGATCCCAATTTTAGGGATCCTGATTGCGCACCATGCCGTCCAGGATTGCAAAAGTATCACGTGCCAGATTGCACAAATTTGATTGTGGTTCCAAGGGGTGACTGAACCTGGTAACTTAGGAACATAATCTATAGTTTAGTGTACAGTCCTACGTCTAATATGCAAGGTCGGAAAGATATTTGTTGACATGATGGTCTTGGCATTGTTATCAACATCAACAGTCTCTCTCTCTCTCTCTCTCTCTCTCTCTCTCTCTCTCTCTCTCTCTCTCTCGATATCTTGATACTGTCTATACTGAAAATGGAAAGCATATTTAATGTCATGCACACGTGCAACTCCAGTTTGCGCACACTGCATAAAAATGGAGTTGGATGATTTCAATATATACTTTCTTCAAATGCATTCTGTCCTTTGATATGCTCATGACTCTTTATTTACATTTTTTCATTAATTCTTTATTTTCTTGAATGGTTTGAATTCAGGGCCGGATGGCTGTGTGTAATCTAGCTTGTGAGGGGTTAAGTGGGGCAAGTACCACACCTGATCTAGTTCAAAGGAAGCTCTACATTGGGGGCCTATCACCAGATGTCACGAGTGAGATGCTTCTGAATTATTTTGGAAGGCATGGTGAGATTGAGGAAGGTTCAGTTGCATATGACAAAGATACAAATGAATCACGGTGCATATCTTCCCTATCTTCGTGGATGTATCTGTTTAGTTATACTAATTCATCTATTTTTAGACATATTTGATACATGTAAAGAATTGTTATCATTTTCCTTTCACGTGCAGTGGGTTTGGTTTTGTTACATACAAGACAGTGGAGGCTGCTAAGAAGGCCATAGATGATCCACAAAAGATCCTTGGGGTAAGTGGACAATTCCACTACATGTGGTGCCTTGACTTGCAAAATCTTTTTTTTTTTTTTGGTCAACAAAATATGCTGGTTATAGATTGCAAGTTAGCCAAAGATGCAGATAGCAAATCAACTGTTGCGACTAAATCCAGAAACCACTATGACAGAAATGATAGAATAGAAAGAAGATGCCACAATAAGTTTACACACAAATGTTGATATGGTGGGGGAGTGAACCCCAAAATTTTTAAAATTCCTACAATTTAGAATATATAATAATAAAATGATTTTAATATGATCATTGCTGCCTTGAAGATCTATGGAGAAATTGCATGATAGTTTGTGTTTCTTTGCAGGGGAGAACTATCATTGCGAAGCTTGCTGATACCCACAAGGGCAAACCTGTACAAACACAGTTACCTGCAGCAGCTGTGGTTCCTCTTGCATTGCCTATGGCACCTGGCTATCCACAGCCTGTGAAGGCACATCCCAGTGCCGCCCCTGCTGGCTACGCATATCCTCAAACTATAACGTCATATCCAGCTTCCTCATACCCTAGTCCTGCTGCAGCACCTGCACCATACCCAACGCAACCGCCAATTCCTTATGCACCACTATCTGCAAAGAAGGACCCGCAAGGAATGCCAACAACTACACCCATGGGAATGGGTGGGTATCCATACTATATCAGCAAACAATAATAAAGTCCCAGGCAAATCATGGTGATATACGGAGCTTCATTTATACATGCTTTCTTAATACGACTATTATTTTGATACACAAATTATTCACCAACACGTTTGACCTTTGCAGTTCAATGACTTGATCAATTGTTATCTTAAACCAACTTGGCCAGACTACATCAGAACTCGATGAGATCGGAAGTTTTGATACAGGAGAGCTTAATGATAGTGTCTTGCTTAATTTTCGCAGGTTTCTTGTAGTTTTAGTTTTGGATAAGTGTGTCTAATTAATATTATTTTCTGTATTCGAATTGAAATGATACGAAATAAAGTTCTTAATTTATATTTGTCTGAGGATATTAGGCTCCTTTTGAAGGGATGAATGCAGGACTGTGGCAGTATCAGGTTTCTCAGCTCACATTGGAAAATTGAAATGAAATACAATGAGTGAATCCAGAACTAATAGTCATATTTTTTTAATAAATATATTTCAAAATTAAAAGTATAATAAAATAATAAGTAGAAGACTAGTAATATATTTAACTCAACGTAATATGATAAATTTACGAAGTATCCTTTTTTTTTTATTTTAAACCCAAACAAATCACTTATCATTTTTGTTTTCTTGATGAAACTTTTATTATCATTTATCATGCCAAAATAGGAGACAAGATAATTTAAAAGATATTAAAAAAAGAGAAAGAGAAAGGAAAAATACGTTAGAAAGACCGGAAATTTGAATTTTTGAATGAGAAATTATCAAATACTGAAGTATTTTAATTTCGTGTGAGCAAGGAAAAAAGATATATATTTAATGACCAGTATATCCTTCTCTAAACCCGCGGCCGTCGTCCAAAAACCCTATGGGAAGTTCGAACTTAATTTCACTGACTGTAAACCTCATTGGTTCACTGCAACTTCTTCATGGCTGCCTCTCTATCAGTTGTAGAAGAATAAACAATCAGACTACCAGATAATCCTCCCCAACTTTCCAAATCCTAGGTAAAACACCATAACTCGATCCTTTTCAGCTTTTAAAAGTTTTATCTTTTCTCTGGTCTCTCTACCTAGTTATTGTCTAGTAGGCTTCATTTTTGTTCAAACTAATCATGACCCATTTTCAAAATCTTGGGAAACCATCTATTCTCAAATGGGTATCTGTTTATTTTGTTGAAAGCCAACTTAAAACCCCATTTTTGGAAATGGGTTCATTGCACTTTGCTCAAAGGCAAAACCCTAGACTTTATAGGACAAAAAGATCAGTTGTAACTGAAAACTGTGATGGCAAAGAGGTTGCCAAGTTCCCCCCTTCCACCTTGAAAGAGGCTCAAGCTGCGTTATTGGAATATTTGCATTCTACTAGGAGTATTCCCTTTGTGGATGCAGAGAATATGAGCAAAAACTCACCTCATTTTTTACGAAAGCTTTTGGAAAAGGTTAAAATTGTGAATGATGTTGGGAGTTCTATGTCACGGTTTTTGCGTTACCATCCCATTAATGAATTTGAGCCCTTCTTTGAGAGTTTGGGAATGAAACCTTGTGAGTATACTCCTTTACTTCCTAGGGATTTGATGTTTTTGAGTGATGATTATTTGTTGCTAGAGAACTATAGGGTCTTGTGCGAATATGGGATTGAACGAAGTAAGATTGGTAACATATATAAGAAAGCAGTTCAAGTGTTTCAACATGAATTCGGAGTTTTGCCATTAAAGCTTCAAGCTTATCAAGAACTGGGGCTTAGTCAGTCTTTTATGACCAAGATTGTTGTTTGTAGTCCTTGTCTTTTGATTGGGGATGTAGATATGAAGTTTATTAAGGTATTAGAGATTTTGAGGAGTGCGGGATTTGATTATGCTTGGATTAAGGAGCATTTGTCAGAGCAGGATTCTTATAATTGGAGCATGATACTTCGTGTTCTGAACTTCTTTAGTAAGATGGGTTGCAGCAGTGAGTTACATGGGTTAATCAGCCAGCATCCAGGGCTTTTATTTGAGGGCTCTGGTGATAGAACACTTTCACTAATCGCATTCCTATTGAAATTTGGACTTCCAATGGATCAGATATCTTCTATGTTTCTGCAGTTTCCAGAAATCCAAGCTGGGCAATTTGTTTCAAATCTTATCAAATGTTTTCTGTTTCTTCATGAGATTGAGATGGAACAAAATGAGATTGGGAAAATTGTGTGCTCTTACCCCATATTACTTGGTTCATCCATGTTGAAGAAAACTAATAGTTTGCTTAGTAACTTGAATGTTGGAAAAAAGCGGCTTTGTAAATACATTCAGGAGAACCCCCAAGAAATGGGTAAATGGGGTTTGGGAACAAAAGTTGGGCCATTACCAAGCTCAGAAGAGGACTTAGAGTCACAAAGGTTGAAGATGAAGTTCTTTTTAAACTTGGGATACGGACAAAACCCAAAAAGGATGGAGAAAGCTGTCAAGACTTTTCGAGGCAGGGGAGGGGAGCTTCAAGAGAGATTTGACTGTATTGTGAATGCTGGTTTGGATAGGGAAGATGTTTCTGAAATGGTCAGTGTATCCCCTCAAATCCTAAATCAATCAAACGCTGTCATCCAATCTAAGATTGATATTCTAGTGAACGAGTTGGGCTACCCTATATCCTCTTTAGTGTCATTCCCCTCTTATCTTTCCTACACAACACAGAGGGTTAGGCTTAGATTGGCAATGTATAACTGGCTCAAAGATCATAAAAAGGTAGCGCCTGACCTGGCCTTGAGTACTATAGTTGCATGCACAGACAAAGTATTTCTGAGCCAGTATGTAAATCATCATTCTAGTGGCCCTCAAGTTTTGCAGTATCTGAAAAGCAAAATTTACCTTGGATAAGTTATATTATTTGCCTATTTATTGCACTTTTATGCCTTATCCCCTGCAATCGTTTGAGGATACTTGATTCTGTTTCTTCTACAAGCAAAAACTTCACTAGCCTGCATCCATACATGGTAAAGGGAAGCCAGTTTTCTTCAACTACCATTAGCCTATAGGTGCAGAGTCGATTTGCATAAGTTAATAAATTTTCAGATTCTGGTTCCTCCTCTATGTTTTTTTTTTTTTTGGTTCAGCATTTAGGCATCCGTGTGCATTACTCATAACCATTGACTTCAAAGTGAGGCCATCATGATACGAATGACTACTATCAGTTGTAACTTTTTATTTCTTCATCAATTGTTTAACATAAGTAAATTTCAGTGTTTAAGATTAAAATTTATGTGAATTTTGTGTAGGACATGCAAACTTATTAAGCAAAGCGTCTGAAAATTTGTGAATTTCGTGTTTAATTGTTTGTAAAGAGGTTCTGATTCTACATACATGTATCAGAGTTCTGCCCTTAAAACTAGTGGAATGCATATTATATACTTTATGCTTCTTGAAATTTGAATAACATGTGTAGATATCATCTAGTTTAAGCAACTTATTGACCTTGTTGACCAAAAACAACTACACAATAGTTTCAATCAAAGCAATCTGGATTATCAGTGTAAGTTGGAAAGATGAGCTAGGAATGCTGGCCATAACTTCTTTCAAAGTGATTACAACTGAATAACATCGTAGTAGGAACCTTCCATTTGCTATTGGCATAGTAGGGCAGGAATGAGGAAAGGCAATACTGGGTAGGTAGTTATCTCAAACTTAATGTTGACTTAGCATAGGAGCTTTGAAGAGCAGATGATTAATTGCAATAAGCTTTGAGGCATGTTTGGATGTGCTATTTATAAACAATTTAGAATAAATCTATTTTGTCTGATAAGGACCAATCTAACATTCAGAACTGGTATTTATAAACATTTTTTTTGAGTGGTCCAAAATTTGGATAGTTTGACATTTTTCTTTAGTTTATTGTATGTGTGTTTCTCTTCTACCAGATTACAAATAAGCAAACAAGAGTTTGTCAATTGTTGTTGGGACTTGGGAGTGGCATAACTTGTCGAAAGGGATTCCTAATGGGGTTTCTTGAAACACTTTGGTTTTCACTTTTCACAACCACACAGACTAAATCAACTACTTTCGTATAATCAAGTTGAATTTGGTATTAAGCTTCAAGGTAAGTTGATTGAACAACAATTCAGCCTCAACTCTGTTTATATAATAATAATGTTAATTACTAAGCATTTTATTTGAATTTGAACTGATTCATCAACCCCAAGTGCCCGACAGTTCCAGGTACAAAGTTCCATCATCTCACCACTGCACATTGTTGGAGCTTGAACAAAACATAAATCTCTAACCCCAACTCATCCTCTAACAATAATGATGCTAAATCTATTATTAGTAAAATCTTAAAACCTTGTTTATCTTGTAATGAAATGTGAAAAACACCGTTCAACTTCAAAGACAGATCCATTTCATCAGATACAGACATTTATGATATATTGATAGGTGTATCATTCCATGTGAAGGAAAAAAATTTTGGAATTTTCAAAATAAGCAAATGGGGATTATACCCTCAAAACAATAAACAAATTATGTATAGCTTTGAAAAGATGGGGATTTTAGGTCAATGTCAAGGGACACTTGCCAACCCTCTCACTTGAATAAGCTGAACTGAATAAATGAGGAGCCAGTTTTCTAAACCAAATCACTCCCTCTAAAAGAAGGTCATCGACACGCGCCTTTATGTTTACCTTTGAATTCAGTACGGTCTTACTTGCGCGTATGATTCAAACCAAGTCTCAGCTCACAGAATCTGTATCCAACTACGGAAATCCTGTGTACAAGCACTTATTCTTATGTTATGCCATAACCAACGTCCACGTGTCAGTCAAAGCCACCCAAAACCGACAGTCAAACTTGAGATGGTGATCTAAAGAGTAGAGAAATTGATCCTGGCAGTGAGTAAAGTCTACTACTAATATAACTAAGGTATTATTTGAATAGTCAATAAAATTAATTACGGTGAAATTAAAAATTAAAAAATTAATTAAAAAATTATATTGATTTAATTTTATTAAAATTAAAATTTAATTTAATTAATGATGCGATAAACACAGCACTCGCACGAAAGGTGCGGTGAAATCGGAAACGGAGACTAACTCTTCTAAAACACACCAAAAGAAAACCTTTTAACACTTTCTCTTCTCATCTCTTAGCGTTCCTCTTTCTCAAACTGTGCCTCTCAGCCTATTGCTTAGCTCTGTTAGAAACTCATTGTGCTGTTGATGATGTTTCCTTTTAACTTACACCATATTATCTGATCTGGTTTTCTTTATTTTTCTTTCAGATCATAGATTTCAAGAAAAACTTTCCTTTGTTCTTTGCTAGCATCACTCTCGTAAAACCATTGAAAGAAACAAAAACCCAGCTTTTTTTCTTGGGGTTTTAGTATCTTCCCTAGTTGGTATAATGAGAATCTGAAATATGGAATTTTGTGCCAAAGATGCAGAATATTGATGTATGTTTTAAGGTTAGCTTCATCTTTTTTGTTTCTTTCTTTGTAGATAGATAATAGAGTTCTCTATATATAAAAAAAGAAAAAAGCTATGTATGTAAATGTTTCTTTTCTGATGTATTGGTTTATGAGAAGTTAATGCTGTGTTTGGTGGTGTAATTATAGGAAATAAAGAATATTTATATAGCTATTCCGAATCATTGATTTAATATCTTTAGGACTTTAGAGTATGAAAATCTTTTGCTTTACTCAACCTTAGGCTAGTATACCAGAGATGATGTGTGTTTTATTTTGGAAGGTAAATAACATGAAAATTTTAAAGTTATGGGTTTTGTATTGATTTGGGTTTTCTCTATTCTTAGTTGGTAACTCAAAATTGGAGATTACATGGATTTGTTGTTGTTTGGTTTATGGTTGTTTAGATTTGTTGCTGTGCAATTGTCTGCTTTAATACAGTTTGAAATTAGGTTGATTTGTGTTGAATCTTTTTATTTGCTTTATTCTTTTTCTATCCAATGATTCATGTCTTTATGAACTCTATGATTGAGTTTTTTATCCTTTGATTCATCCCAGAAAAGAAGTGGAATTAAAACAAGAAAGGGCAAAACCTACAATTGGATCAACCATATATGAGTTTCTGTTGTGGTTTAGGTGCGTTTTTTTAAAAGAGGGAACACTAAGAAGAAAATATCTAAACTTGCAATTTCTTTCTTAGATTTTTTTGTGACAAAACTAAGGTAAGGAGTGGACGTGTTTGTTGTAATGATGGAATCATTGCATGAATGTTTTTCATTTAATTTGTATTGCCTCTTGTTTCAAGGCTCTGCCTTTCTATTCGATTTATGTATGTTAACTGATGGTATGCTCAATTATACTGTTGGCATGGTATGTATTTGTCTTAATATGTAATGGATTTGCATAATGGAGTGTGCTATTTCCTATTTTCTGTCACTTAATAACATATGCTCTTCTTATTTTCACAGTTCTTTTGTTATTTAATGTCGATTTTTTTGGATTGAATCTATCTTTTTGTCTTTGCAGAAACCTTCTTCAGTTGTTTGAAATTGTTTTTTAAGCAGTTCTTGGACAATGAAAAGAGGTAGAGGAAAAGCAAAGAAGCAGACTGTTGTTTCTTCTTCTCATGAGGATCTGGGAAGTGGTGAAGATGAAAAATTTCCAGCGTATAAGAGAAGAGGAAGGCCGCAAAAGCAATTGAAGGATGATATTGATGAAGATGAAGTGGAGAAGACAGAAGAAGATGGTGACGATGTAGAAGGTTCCATTCCTATCAAGGAGATGAAAAATCAGGCTGCCACAGAGAATGGAAGGAAGAGGAAACGGTCAATGCAGGCAAAAGAAAACATAGATTCAGTCAAGAAAGAAAATGGTATCACAACAAAGTTAACCACTGGTGACTCAACTAAATCTGTTGGGTATCGACAAAATGGTAGCAGGCGCAAAAACAAGCCTCGTCGGGCTGCTGAAGCTGTGGTTGAGTGCAAGTGAAGTTCCAGATAATCATCACCATGGATTTTGCCTTCTTTTCCATACCTGATAAATCATCCCAAAAGTAATGCTTGTCAGCTCATGTATGGATTCAGATGTTTCTTTTTGTCACATGCTATTTGTTTTTGTAGTTTCTGAATTCCATTTCAGTAATGGATAATTTTTGTTGGGAGCTTTTTTATATGTTTGCAGTGCATGCTTGTAATATTTGATTGTGTTATCGCAAATTAAAAAATCATTTTGCTAGTCTTCTGTTTGTGGCTTTTTACAGTGAGAGAACTTGTTATTCAATCAGAATTTTCTCTTATCAAGTTTATTAAGTTCGTGTTTTAGTGGCATTGCATCTATAACTAACCATCTTTCCATATCTATCTTTCTAATTTCTTTGCCAAGTTATATATGACATAACAGAAGCTTGAAGATGTACTAATCTTTTTAATTCTAGACAGCAGAGAATGAGTGCTTTCGTGCAGGATTTGCTTTATCTTTGTTCTTCTGGATACAAGGAGAAAGGCCTTAGGTGCAATCCAAGGGTCAGAGAAAGAAAATGAAGTCTTGAAGCTGAAAAACAGGTGGAGTAAATGTGAGTGTATATGCAGATGAACTAAAGCATTAAGCAGATGGCTTTCGCAAAAGGAATGCTAGATTCTTGTGAGTTTCTTATGCCAAAGTGGTTGAAATGAGCTAAAGCTTTTTTTCTTCTAATAAACAGTTCTTAATTTTACGAACAGTGTAAGATTCCTTTCCCCACCTCGCTAAAGAAAATCAGTTTATTAATAGGGTGCTGTAGATTTTCCCTTTTCTCTGCTTCTAAGCCCTTTCACAGCATGGTATCTTTGATAGTTGTGATGATTAATATCATTAGTTTGACACACTGATGGAAGAAATCTCTTGCATGAAAATGGTACCATAATCATCTTTAGCAGAAACTGCTTATCATCCTTATCATGTAGCAATAGCATTCAAATAGAAACTAGATCTATTCATTCTCACATCTCTGATTCTTTAGTCTGTTGTGCATTGTTTTGCTTTTTCATGTGTCTTTGGCTTACTTCAGCTGGTGGCAGATCTTATGATTGAGATTTTACGGAAAATCTCTAATCTCTGATCAATCATCATGAATAAAATCTATAATATTAAACCTGTGTTGAAGAACATAAAATTTGTTGGTCATAAATGATAAGAATTACAAAAACCAAAATGTTGGTTGTTGCCACTTGCCATTAACTAAAAAGCCTACATTTTTGTTCTGAATCAGTTTGGCTTTGGTTGAGTGTTTTCAAGGTTTCAGATGGATTGATTCTTGGAGTGATCCTCAATTCATCATCAATAAAGCCACCCACCCTAATCTATCAAGCTGTTTAATGCTTATGTTTCCATGTCAGGGGACTGGGGCAATTGTGTGAGTTTTGACTTGTGAGATAGTTGCAATGTGTCAACAACAAATAAAAGTTCTTTTTTTTTTTTTTTTCCCCTGCATGACTAATGATTTAAAAGATAACAGTTTGCTTCATCCTATTTGCTGTTCATAGTTTAGTCTGCATTTTTTTATGCAATTCTGTTGGTAGAGGATTTTTCTTATGGAACAGGAATAAGTGGTTCAAATGATTTGTTAGAACTCATAAATCCAAATGTTCATGTAAGCTAAAGTTGAATGTTATACATGAAATAGAATCCATGAATGCTTTTTGGTGCTCAATGATACAGCAGGTGCTGGTAGACATGGCCTAAGCTAGAAGGTTCCATAGATGCTAAAAGATCATAACATGAAATTTGTGCTTCTTTCATAAACTTGACTACTTGAGTTAGGTTTAGTTTAGTATTACGGTTGAAAATAACGTTTGCATTCAAAAAGTGTTTTTAATCCAATTTCAATGCAAACCGAAGTTGTATATTTTATAATTTTTAAGATATCAATTTGTACAAATTTTCTTAAATTTAAATATTAAATGTGTAATTAACTCTTATAGTAACATTCGAAGCATTCGTGCTTGCTTAGACTTTGAGACTAATTACTTATTATATAAAAATACAAAATTAGATTTGTATGTATATAGTCTTTATGCTATATATACATATACTTTTGAAATTTTTAGCATTCCTAGTGACATGCAAATCTGCAATATCCAAAAATGTGTTATTAATACAAATTTTAAAATTTAAATTTAAATTTAAAAATTAATTGTGACACTTGAAGCACATTATAAATATGTTAAAATCAAATCTCATCATCATATCAATTGAAATATTAATAGGGTTTTATATCTAACTCATGTAATTAATTCAACATATAATTTTTATTTGAATAAAAAATAAAATGTAACAAATATATAATATAAGTACATTTTTTGGTCATTTATCATTTATTTTTCATAGAAAATTAAAGTTGTTATCGTCAGGCCTATGCTAGACTTGCTTGTTGCCATAGGGGACAAAAGACAAGTAGAGAAGTTGAAAAATTAGATGCGTGCTTTACAAGGGACAATCATTACAAAAGCTTTTCAATTGATTTTTTTTTTTTTTGGACCGTCAAATTTTAAATTTAATATTTCATCAATAAATTACATAATTTTTTATCAATAATTGTAAGATGAGTCTCTTCTATTACTCCACCTGCCGAATCAGGCGTCATTGACGTGTCCAGATTCGAAGTTTCCTTTTCTTAGGTAACAAAAATCCAAGTTAAAAGGACAGATGTGCAGCCCTATTTGTCTTGCCAGGAGGCTCATATTTCGGTAGCAGCAATGAGGAGTCATTAATGTCCGAAACCAAAATCTCTGTAACGGTCAAGGCCAATGAATCAACCAATTGAACCAACTCATCGTCGACAAGATTTCACTTTTTTTTTTTGGGTACATTTCCCACTTTCTTTCCTTATTCAATTACAATATATCATTTATAATTATTATATTACAATTAATTAATTAATTTTTAAATTATATAAGATTTATCAAAATAATTTGTGAAGTTTATTTTTGTAAGTGATAAATTATCACATAATTTTTTATTATGATTGAATAATTATAATATTATAATAAAAATTATAGTTGAAATTATTTTGTTTGATAGAAAGAGAGAAATATTAAAGGAGGAAAAAGGAAGACATTTTTATTCTTTCCTTGTATGTGTGTGGTATAATAAATAGAAAATGAAAGAAACAAAAAAAATTATGGATAAAACTATAAATGAAGTGATTAATCTATATAATTTGTATGAGATTTTTTTTTCTATTTTTTTCAAATAACTGATTTTGAGGAAAAAATTATAAATTTATTCATTTATCTTAAGTCATGTTTGGTACTTAAATAATGTCATTTTATTTTGTGTTTAATGTATGTAATAATTAAATAAAATAATTTACTTATTTGCCAAAATTATTTTTAAAAAAATTTATACAGTTTAAATTATTGATATAATTTTTAAGGGTATAATTAGATATGTAAATTTAATTTCATTAATTAAAAATAACTTTCTCCACTTTGATAGGATTGAATAATCTTATACTAAGAAGATATTAATCCTCATTACAATTCTTATCATTCTCTTTATATACAGATTAAACATAACATAAGATGATTATTATCTTATTATATCAATAATCTTATACATCAAATATTACCTTAAGTCGTAAAGATATCTCATGGACTTAATACATTAAGATGTCATTTATATACATAATGCATTGTTCATTGGTTGAAAAATGGACCCGGCATTCTTGCTTCATTAATAGTCTATTTAATTAAGGATATATACCACCATCCACCAGCTTCAATTATCCTAATTAAATTATCTTTAATTTGAATCGTAACTATAAAGTATAACCAATAAAATTTTAATGTATTGAGTATTGCACCATGCTCTTATTTATATCTAGCTACATATATCATGTATTAAATGTTCAAAATATAAGTTATAAGGCTATACATTATTTATACAAATTCAAAGAAAAATGACAAAATATAAAGGACCATTGAATTATAAGAAAAATGAGATCCATGTTTTTACTAATGAATACTAAATTTTATTTTTAGCTATAATCTTTTTTTTTCAACATTTCGATTAATAAGTCAAATATTCAATTTTTTTTATATAGAAAAAAGTCGTAAATTAGATATAGAAAAAGAAATTATTAGTACTAAAATTTGAATTCAAACTTACTGAATATTATTTCTTAAAAGTGGTTTCATAAATTAACCGAGTTAATCTTGATATTCAATATTTTATATTTTCAATACTAATATCTTTTATATTTTGTTTTGTTTTTTTTTTCATTTTAGTGCAATCTTTCTCTTCCAATGACATGAAGTGAATAATTTATCATTCAAAAGAAATTAATAATCAAGAGACTTTTTATAATATTCTTTTTATCTTATAAAAATTTATCATTCTTATGTTTTAAAATTCAAACTTAAAAGAAATACACAAATTTTATTTTTATAATTTTTTTCTTTTCAACTGAAACACAATTATATGTATCAATCACTTGGAGTATATTTTCTTTATTGAAATTAGTTTGTTAGCATAAAAATGAAAGATTATAATAAGAAATGTAATTAACATGCTACTTTATGTTTTCCAAATATTAACTTAATTTGGTGAAACCTATTTATAATGAAGCCTTGGCTAACCCACCCTAACTCTTGAAGCAATTATATAACTTAGAAAGAAACCATTAATCATGTAAACATTTTGTGTCTTGTTGTTTCCGAGATGCTCGGTTGTGGGAATGATTCAAATGAATTATAAAGTGGAAAAATCCTTGGAAAGTGGGATTGGTGGTGGACCTTTTGTTGATTCCAAATGTAGCAAAAAATCATCCTCAAAGCAAAAAAATAAACGTTGGTTTAGTAGGGTAGGGCCATGAATTTAAACCCTTTTTCCCTGTTTGGGCATTCATTGTTTCGGTGGGGATTTATACATTCTGCCACAGCCATTAATATAATATGACAATGAGTAATGAGTAACAACCTCCCAAACCTGTAAATTTTTTGCATTAATTACTGCAAAAGAAAAGCTCATTCATTAAGTAACTCTAGTGAAAAAAACAACATTGACACAAGTTGATGTCGAACCCGAGTTAAAGGTGAAAATTTTAAAATTATATATAAAAAAAAAATCAATGATAAAAATAAGACTATTCATTACGTTATAATTATCATTTTAAAGTCATATATTAAGATAAGAGAAATAAAAAATTAAAAAAATAAAAAAAAGAGATGAATAAATAGTAGATTAATGATTTTATTTATAAAAAAATGAATGATATGTAATCTAAGTAAAAATGTAACTTAATTAATGTGATATTATATATTATTAAATCATCTAAAAATTAAAATTATTTATATTTATTT